GTTACGTTATGTGTTTGGTGATGGATCACGCACATACACTCCACGTAAGCGGTTGTGTGATGTGTTTGGTGAGGGATCACGCAAATCAGGGCCAATTAAAACGGTCAACACTACTTACAATGAGAAAGATCAGACGTCTACACGAAAAGACAGTCTTCCACCTCAACCCTTATATGGGAATAGGATGCACTCCGATCAAAATTCATATTATTCTAGTAAGAAAAGATTCTAAATCATAACTCATTTTATTTATTGAATTTATAATACTTATTTATAACTAAGATTTTAAAATATAAATACAGGAATTTCCCCAATAAAGTTGACCGTTGATCTGCCTATATCTTCTCCAATGACTACAACACCACAAGGAAGAGAGGTTGTTGCTATTCCTGTAACACTAGAGGAGGGTGTTGGGGACAATATTGCAAAACAACAACAACAAGCAAAAGCAGGAAGAGCTATACGCGATGATGTGGTTCCTGTAGTGAAGTATCGTCGTCCGGATCTCAACTTTCATCCACCAGAAGAAGATGATGAAGATTATTATTCTTAGTCGAAAGTTGAATAATTTAATTTATGTGTTGACAGTGTTTAACTATCGGCCATTACTATACTTTTTAAGTTTTTGTTTTATAGATATTTCACAATGATTTTTTGTTTGTTTGCTTTAGTTGCTAGTTTCATATAAAGTTGCCCCGTTCGGTTTTTTTCTTAATTTCAAAAGCAATGTTATATTCACGTGACTGTAGCATAATGTTCTTTAAAAACAACAACATGCTTTAAAAATATTACTGTAGCAATGTAGATGTCATCGTATATAATTTTATTCTATCCCACCATCTCCCTCAACAAACAATCGGTAATAGAGGCTTTTACGTTTTCCTTCCAGAACCTTCGACTATGACATGTTTCTACTTTTTTCCTAAAAAAATACGAGAATGTTACGCTGTCAACTTCCTCAGTTTTACATGCACAAATGGCATAAAGGCTGGCTCACCACGTGTGCATGCAACTAGTGATTCAGCACCTTACAGAGCCTTCAGCCAACCAAAACAAAATTAATTTAAAATCCAACTAGTTCAAAATTCAAAACAATTATGAAAATGATTTTATATTTTTTATGAAAATAGTTTTAAAATAATTTAAAAGATAAATATTTTATTTATGTCTAAAATATATATTTTTAAGAAAGATACACAACAATCCAATTTATATGGACTATAGGCAAGAGGAAACAGTAATTAAAAATTAGTATTAGAAAAGAAATATAAAGTCCAATTTTTGGATGCTAAGCTACCTCCTGTATATATAGAAATTAGAAAGTTCCTAAGTTCTTTATAGAACCTACGAAGATATTTTTTTAGTAACTACAGAACCTACGAAGATGCTTTGCTGTCGAGAGGAATAAGTGTGACTCTTTGACTTTTAAAGAAATCACATGGGCATTAAATAGCCAATTATTAGAGTTTTTCATTACGCGGCCTACATATAAGTCAACCTAGTGTGGCATGGAGTCTGTGATCCAGCTCACCCCACCCCAAAAGTCAAAACAGAATCTATACAACTTATGCAGGTCAATCATTAACAACTACATACAAAATCACATGGGTATTAAATAGCCAATTATTAGAATTGTTCATTACGTGGCCTACATTTAAGTCAACCTAGTGTGGCGTGGAGTCTGTGTTCCAGCTCACCCCACCTCAAAAGTCAAAACAGAATCTATACAACTTATGCATGCAGGTCAATCATTAACAACTACGTACAACAAATTTCAGGTGAATTTGTTATTTTCTAAGAAGAAAAAAAGAATGAGTATTTTGTGTGAAGATTGTCAACTTCAATGTTAAACCAAGAACTTTACTACATGGTGTCAGCTCTCCGACATATTGTCTCCGGCGCAGGCGATAGTTGGAAGATGATGGAGTTGCCAAATGGATATGCTCTTCTCATCCTTTAAATCCTCTTAATTAATTCGGTTTATATATGTATATATGTTTTCTTTGGGTTGTTTCTCCTTTATTTCAATTTCTTTTGAGTGGCGGTAGGAAATATCTTGTACCACTCAAGTGTTGAGCTTGTAATCATATTATATAGTGAGTAGTGTAATATGATTACACTATCTCTTCTTAATAGAAAAAATAATAATATATATTATATATATACTGATCTCTTCTAACTACTCAATAGAAGAAAAAATAAAAGAGCGTCTTCTTTTTATTATCAGTAAGTTTTTTATATACACTCTCTTCTTAATAGAAAAAAATAATAAAAAATGAGTGTCTTCTTTTTATTATCAATAGATTTTTTCAATTTAACATTTTATAAGTTAAGTTTAAAATCTGGACTAAAAACATTTTTAATTTAAGATTATAAAATTAAATTATTATTTTTAAAATTATGTATTAAATTAAATGAAGATACTTAAATTGGGATGGAGAGAGTAGAGGTGGGCTTCCGGTATTCAATTCAATATTTTCAAATTTTGAATTATGTGATTCATTTATTGGTAGTTAAAAGTAGATATCAAATACAATTTATAAATTCCGGTTCGATAATTTAGTAATCGATAAATCTAACTTCGTCAGGGTATTTGATAATACCATATTAAAGTTGTACCCGATTGTAGTACAAAGTTAATATTATTGCTCCAATTATTTTTATTTTTCTATGTAGAGGCCCGATATAATAGAAGATCAACAAGTAAGAAGATTGTCAAGAAAAACATATTGATACAACTAAAAGACATATGCATTTGGGTTGTTTATGTTTAGTCTTTTAACTTTCTCTTTGGACTTGTTCTAATGAGCAATGGACCTATTGAGATATGATTTTCATTAAATAAATAATTCGGTATTCGAGAAATATCGAATATCAAATGATATTCATGTCTCATACCAAATATAAAATTTGAATACCGTTATTCTAAAATTTTACTTTTGAATATCATATCAAATAGCGAATTAATTACCGAATATCAAATTACCAAAAATTTCGATCTGATTCAATAATTCAATTTTTGATATTTTATAATCAGCCCTGAGAGATTCTATCTTTATACAAACAAGAAAAGAATTGAACCAACACATTTAAGGCGTCATAAATTCTTTTCTTTTAGAGAAAATGTAAAATCTCTTATAAAATTTAGCTATACCAACAATAACAAAAAGATTTCTAAATATTTTTTATATTTGATTGAACACGTGAAAATTTTAAAACATAAGTTGACTATGCAAACATAAAAGAACTTTTCTAGTGAATTGACTCAACTTTGCGCAGGAAGGTCTCAATTTTTTAATAAAGTGTCTCAGTGAAACTTACGGATTAAGACATTTAGCATTCATGCCTTTATGGCCCTTTGAAAACTACTACAAAATCATATTGTGAAGTTTGAATAAAAAACACTTTTTGACTTTTGAAATTGGTTGTCATTTAGTCAAGTAGTCAACTTAAGAAGAATACTATTGAAGTTGGAATGAATTGGATAGTGATGCTTCAATGCAAATAATGATTTAAATATATATCTTCAAGAAAATAGTAGGATATAGATAAGATATTGCATACAAAATTAAAATAGAATGATTGAAACGAAGAATTGTTATCAAAGTGTAACATCATAAAATAGTATTAACCAAAACTAAATGCAATTTATCGAATAATAGTACTACGATCAACACACTATATATAATACAAATGAGTGAAATGTTCGATCATTAAAGTCCAACATTAACATTATATCCTATATAATGTCACCGTTTCAAATACATGAATAGCGTGGATATTTAAGACCATATAATTATAAGGTAATTTCTTTATTTCAAAATAAATGATATTTTTAATTTAGACCTTAAAAAAAAAAGGAAAAAATGATGTAACTTCATGTCTTAAAATTAACAAGTTATTTTGAAAGGAAAAAAGTAATACTTCTTGATGACGTATGGTAGAAGCTTCCAAGTACCATCTGCGGTTCCTTCTGGAAACTTCGATAATTACATGTCCTAATTCTAGGAATACGAGAATGTTGCGGTGTCAAGTGCATATTTGACATGTTACTGAGTTTTTTCTAAAGAAAGACCACGTTAATTCTGCTGATGTCAAACCTCAACGTGACACTTCCTTGGGCTCAGCAGCTCAGCAGATTGGAGACACAAGTGGCATAAAGATGGCAAACCGCTCGCACACCCAACCAAAATAAAATATTTCTACTACTATATAATATAAAATATAATATATAACTTGTCTTACCTTTAATATTCTATATATAAAAGTTATTATTCATGTACAGACATCTTTAAGATATGTAAAACCTTTTTATACTAAAAATTAGTAATTAAGAGTTTATATATACTCTTACTTTGTCCAATATTTAGTTGATATACTCGTAAGGATCATTTAGTAGAATATATTTTAAATATAATTAATAAATAAAAGTAAGTTGATGAAATACAAGATAGAATAGTACACTTTTAACTCCTTGCAAATACTTAAAAAATAATTTTGAATTAATTAAGTTACTTAGTACTTAAGATGAGTATGTATATACAAATTAAAAAAAATAGAATGTTCCGTAGATACCTCCGAATGAAGGAAGCTCTTAAATATAGAAGGTTCCAAATGCATTTTTTAGAAGCTACGAATATACTACAGTATTTCTTTTATTAGAAAGAATGGTTTGCTGTTAAGTGTAAAGAGGCTTTCGTCAGATGGACCAATTCTTCCAAAAATAGGCACGTCATTAAAGAGTGCAATGATTTAATACTTATACGTGGCCTACACCAAAGTCAACCTCGTGTCTGACTAGTGTTCCAGCTCACCCCAAAACAAAATATTATTATTTCTATAAATACGCCCACACTCGTCTTTCATTTAACAACAACAAATTTCATTTGCTATTTTCTAGACTAGAACTAGAACTAGAAAGGGAAAGAATGAATAGTTTATGTCAAGAGAGTAAATGTACTTTTACTCACAAACTGACTCATCAACAAGAATCTCACTACATGGTGTCAGCTCTCAAACATGTTTTCTCAGGCGCCGCCGCTGATGGTCGGGCGGACGGAGAAGCTGCTAAGCTTTTGTGGGAAGTTCAAAATGCAGCCACGTCAGATAATTCAATGCCACGTAATGTGGACGACACTGTTTCTCTGGAAAGCGGGAAGAAGAAGAGGAGGAGGAGGAATACGAAGAAGGAATTTAGGGGAGTGAGACAAAGGCCATGGGGAAAATGGGCCGCTGAGATACGTGATCCGCATAAAGCCCAACGACTTTGGCTTGGTACTTTTATTACTGCCGAAGATGCTGCTAGAGCTTATGACATAAAGGCCGTAGAATTTAGAGGTCGAAAGGCGAAAACCAACTTTCCTCTTAAGGAATATATTGATGCTGACAACAGTACTTCCCCAATCGTGATAGTGGAAGATGATGACCAAAATGGTAATGAAGTTGCAGTGGCTACTGATCAGGATAACAATGGTGAAAACAGTATGGATATTGGTGATGACTTTTGGGCCACATTGGAAGATGATAGACTTGTCAAATTTATCACACAGGATATGTCCCTCTGATTCTTAAATTTCTACTTTTATGGTTTTTGTCTTATCTGAAAAATATCTTCTTCTTCTTTTGCAGGTTTTTTTTTTTTTTTTTTTTTGTTTTCTTCTCTTTCTTTGACTACTCTTAGGTGGCTAGAACGGAGTGGTAGCAAATACTATCTTCTTGTTTAAGTATTTTGTACTAAAGTGTTAAGGTTGCAATCATTTATTTTCGTCAAAAAAAATATAAAATGAGTGAAGTTAGTTCCCTCGAAAAGTCATCCAACTTATCAACATTTTACAATTTGCCTACTAAATTTACTTTAATTCAACTATATATTATTATGTTTTTCAAAAATCTATTAAACTATCATTCTCTTCAAGTCTATTTTTCTTAATAATAAATATACTTTTAATTCATACACATGATATCTATTTAACACAATTTATATTTATCAGATCTAATGAAGTTTTGATGATAGACAGGAGAAGTTGTCCTCATCTAAACATTACTACAAGATGGGTTTAATCTTACATGGTATTTGTGATCAACCGAACTTTCACGTACGAGTATAAAAGCGCAAATCGTACGTTTCGATATATACTGAGAGCTAAAGGCTGAACTCAAGCAAATAAGCAAGAGTATATTTGAGAAGAAGTTCTGACTTGTTGATTGAAGAACTTGTTTCATACTTGATGGTTTTTGGGTCTAGAATTCTTGTATTAGGTGATGATCGAGTTGTACTATTTCAGCTTTTTAAAAGCAACTGCGTAGCTAGGGATAAACAAAATAGGAAAACTTAGCTTCAAGTTAAGGGTATTATAACTTGAAGAGGGAAGCAACAATCTGTTAAGGTTGTTGCATATAGTTAGTTCCTAGGTTGCAACTCTTATAATTTAAATATTATTGAGGCTCACTTATTTTAGTGAATTTGGGGGAAAATCCTACAGAGGTGTAGGTCGTGGTTTTTTTCACCCTTGTGAGCCGGGTGTTTTTCCACGTAAAAAGAATTGTCTTTTTTACTTTACTGCACTTCACAAAGTAAAGTAACCCAGTCATCACTTAGGCGAAAATAAGTATAACCCGATTCATTCCATCTTATGTTAATTAGGACGCAGAATATCATTACCTTACCTCCAAACCTCACTAAGAAGATCCAATGATAAATGTTGATAAAAAAAAGTATATCTCCACCTTCTTAAGATAATAAAATTGTTATCAAAAACCCAATTTGCTAAATGTGCTAGTTCAAAACACAAAAACCAGTGTTAAGGTTGGCGATCGTCTTATGGTACAAGAAATAATGAGTGTTTGGTTGCTACTTAATCCATTATTAATTAGCAGTTGAATTGGTTGTGTTTCAGCTGACATGCTGTTTTATAAATTAAAAAAAAATGTAATGGAAGTAACCAAACTAGCTTATGTCTGTTTCAAATTTCAATCCGAGTTAGTTTAAGTATAACTCAAAACTAGCAGGTGACATTGTTTGAGTTGACACACGTTTTTTAAAAAAGGAGATTGGTGATATTTGTGACATAAAAAATACTCCTTGACCATTTGCATTACTATAAATCATTTTATTTGGATACAAAGAGAATTTCTTAAGTTAAATTATTTATAATTACAAAAAACATAACTTTCTTTTTGGAACAATTGAGACATGAGCAATAGACTCGCCATACCAGAAACCTGAGATGCGCAATCTCAGATTGCATTACTTACAGGCCTTGAAAACTCATATATCTGGATAACCATTGGCGTGCTCTTAAATGCAGAAAAATCATTTTTCATTTAACAACACTTGCCAGAGTTATATAGTGAAACTGTCCCCTAATAGAGCAACTTCAAGACAAAAAAATTATCAAAAGAAACTGCAGCAACAAAACAGTACTAAGAGAACTCCTAGTCCCTGCATGAATCACTTGTACGCTCAAGTACTGTTGAGCTAGTCGAGCAGGCATCCAACCACTTAGTTATCATTATACAGTGACGATGACTGAGTAAAATTCCAAACATTCATTTTCCAGGCTAGCTAACACAAGCTGTTGGAAAGCACAACAAGAGCATTCTACTAATGCTAACAAATAGCTTGTTCCTTTAGTTCTGGTAGTTAACAAATACCAAGAAGGGACTAAATCAAAGAATAGAAGCCAAAGCAATAAGCAGTTGACGAAAATTTTGCAGATAACAGCCGGGCACAAGGTTTAATTTCAAATCTCAGCAGCCAAACCACAACTTAGTAAATCCATATTCCGGACAAAATTGAGAGGATCACTATAATCACCAACCAATTATCTAAAGTCCAAATTAAGTTATTTTCAGAGGCCATAAATGCAAGAAGGTACCAAAACTAGCTTGATTGTCCCACTGACATAATACTCATAACAGATCCTTCCTTACCTATCAAGATCTCTAAACAACCATGTGGTTTTCTCCTCCCGTGGTTTTTGTCCCACCAAGGGTTTGCTTAGCCACGTATATTTGTTTCACCTTAGTAGATGGAACCGCACCCAAGGACTGATTTCTGCCATGGAAACCCATTCTGCGATGGGACCAATCATTTCCAGCCATATTTCTCTGAGACATTCCACCACCCCTGTGATAGTTGTAGCCTGCAGAGGTATTCTTCTGCTGGGTGTGCGTTTTGAAACCACTGACACCTTGATCTTTACCACTGTTGCTGATGCCATTTCTGAGAGCATCAATTTTGCCAGCATCTGCATTAGCACATCCAGAGGAGCTTTGACTGGCCAGACTCTGAGCAGAACCAACAGTAGCCCCCGACTTGGAGGAATCTCCAAGACCAATTTCAACAGGAAACTGAGCTGCATTGGCAACTGTCGCAACGGTAAAACTGGGGGTACCATCAGAGGATTCTGGAGGATGAGATTCCAAAAACCTATTGGTATTCAATGACTTATCAATCGAATGACCGTGCCCAAATTTAGGAGGCAATACACCTTCAGCTTGCTGTTGCAAGGGGTGAGAAATGGGAACAGAATGAAGAGGCGATGCAGGGACATGAGACCAGCGAGCTTGGACTGGCATTTCAGGTGAAGACTGAGTTGAAACCAAAAGCAAAGTAAAATGTTATATGAGAGAACTGCTTGCACTAATAGATCATATAACAAAAATCTAAGGCATTACAGAGTCTATATTCTTAGAAATTAATCAATAAGTTCTACACAAGATGAAAGAAATGAAGACAATTATGAATATTTCAAAATCAAAAAGAAGTGAGCAACTAAAATAGACAAGTATACTCCACTACGATGGGGTGAAATATTCTACAAGCCCTTTTTTTTGTTAACATCAATGATGGTATGGCATTCCTTACCTGGAAAGGAGACACATCAAACATCAGAGGAGAAGCTATGGGCATAATTGGTGAAGCAGGACCAAGGTGCTGGACGGTAGCAGGCATATTCGATAAATTTCGCTGAGAACCAGCCATATTTACATTATTCATATCCGCCTCAGTGATGCCCATTGCGGAGGATGAGGGTGTGTGCTTCCAATCAGGCTGCTTTCCAGAAGGTAAATAAGTGGTACCCATAAAGCTTAATCCAACCTGGCCATACTGTCCAACTGGAGCAAAATGATTATAGACCACCATGTGTGGCGGACCTTGAACTCCAGGGATACCTCCAGGTGGGCTTATGAAAGGGCCAGTGAACCCTGCTGGATGACCGTAGAATGAGTCTAGCGTAGAATGGCATTGTTGCCATGCACCAAGTGGACCTGAGCTAGACACGGTAGCTTTCTGTGACTGTGATTGGGAGCCAGCCGACTCCTTATGTGGACCGAAGGCAAAAATAGGACCGCCCAACACGGGATTCATCTCATAGAAAGGAAAATGTGACGGCGGGCCACCAGGAAAATGAGATAGGATTTGGCTCGAAGAATTCTGGGGACTTGGTAGGGGCGGCCACAATGATATCGGAGGAGTCTCAACATTGAGATCAGCAGGAAGAGATACACTAAGAGACTCTTCTGCCCGTGATTGGCTGCTCAATTGCTGATCACCTGCCATAACACAGACTGATTAATACAGGCAACTGTCAGAACCATCAGATGATAAACAAAGCACATTTGGGCATTGCAAATTCTGTACCTTCAAAAGTTTTAGCTTCTGAAATAGCAGAGCCAAGTCCATTCCCGACAATTTCATCACTGCTGATAGCTGCTACAGCAACAGCAGAAGCAGCTGCTTCTGCTTCAGCCTCAGAATCTTGTACATTTAGACATGGATCATTTGCACGTTTATCTTTCTCAAAGAAAAGGGTACAATCACTTTCATCTGGAGAAATATTACGGGAAATTTGTACTTCAGATCAATTAGACCCTGGAGCTCCAATCCCATGTGAAACAACACGACTACTAGTATGAAGGACGGTTGGGGATGTAACAGCACCTGGTAAGCGGAGGGATTAGATTATACGTATGAAATAATCATAACTTGAGATACATACATATGAAATGACAAGGCAGGTTACCAAATTGAATTTTTTCGCCAGCAAGCAAGGAGTTGATTGGACTTGCAGCAGAAGAAAAAGATTTGTCCTTTGTTAAGATGGATGATGATGGTAAGATGGGCTCAGTGACTGCACTACTGTGAGCTCCAACAGAAGCTGCATGTGCTTCAAACCTAGCAGGGCTCATAGCCTCTTCAAGTTGGCTCTGTGACAAGGCCATTTTTTTTTTTTTTTTTTTGTTTTCTTCTCTTTCTTTGACTACTCTTAGGTGGCTAGAACGGAGTGGTAGCAAATACTATCTTCTTGTTTAAGTATTTTGTACTAAAGTGTTAAGGTTGCAATCATTTATTTTCGTCAAAAAAAATATAAAATGAGTGAAGTTAGTTCCCTCGAAAAGTCATCCAACTTATCAACATTTTACAATTTGCCTACTAAATTTACTTTAATTCAACTATATATTATTATGTTTTTCAAAAATCTATTAAACTATCATTCTCTTCAAGTCTATTTTTCTTAATAATAAATATACTTTTAATTCATACACATGATATCTATTTAACACAATTTATATTTATCAGATCTAATGAAGTTTTGATGATAGACAGGAGAAGTTGTCCTCATCTAAACATTACTACAAGATGGGTTTAATCTTACATGGTATTTGTGATCAACCGAACTTTCACGTACGAGTATAAAAGCGCATATCGTACGTTTCGATATATACTGAGAGCTAAAGGCTGAACTCAAGCAAATAAGCAAGAGTATATTTGAGAAGAAGTTCTGACTTGTTGATTGAAGAACTTGTTTCATACTTGATGGTTTTTGGGTCTAGAATTCTTGTATTAGGTGATGATCGAGTTGTACTATTTCAGCTTTTTAAAAGCAACTGCGTAGCTAGGGATAAACAAAATAGGAAAACTTAGCTTCAAGTTAAGGGTATTATAACTTGAAGAGGGAAGCAACAATCTGTTAAGGTTGTTGCATATAGTTAGTTCCTAGGTTACAACTCTTGTAATTTAACTATTATTGAGGCTCACTTATTTTAGTGAATTTGGGGGAAAATCCTACAGAGGTGTAGGTCGTGGTTTTTTTCACCTTGTGAGCCGGGTGTTTTTCCACGTAAAAAGAATTGTCTTTTTTACTTTACTGCACTTCACAAAGTAAAGTAACCCAGTCATCACTTAGGCGAAAATAAGTATAACCCAATTCACTCCATCTTATGTTAATTAGGACGGAGAATATCATTACCTTACTTCCAAACCTGACTAAGAAGATCCAATGATAAATGTTGATAAAAAAAAGTATATCTCGACCTTCTCAAGATGATAAAATTGTTATCAAAAACTATTTCTCCAACCCAATTTGCTAAATGTGCTAATTCAAAACGCAAAAACCTCTGTTAAGGTTGGCGATCGTCTTATGGTAGAAGAAATAACGAGTGTTTGATTGCTACTTAATCCATTATTAATTATCAGTTGAATTGGTTGTGTTTCAGTTGGCATGCTGTTTTATAAATTAAAAAAAAAAAAAAGATGTAATAGAAGTAACCAAACTAGCTTTTGTGTGTTTCAAATTTCAATCCAAGTTAGTTCAAGTACAACTCAACAATTTCACTTAATACTCATTTTGGTAATTGCGAGGACGCTTAATGTTTAATTTAAAGAAGCATGCCAAAACTTGCAGGTGACATTGTTTGAGTTGACACACGTTTTTAAAAAAGGGAGATAGGTGATATTTGTGACATAAAAATACTCCTTGACCATTTGCATTACTATAAATCATTTTATTTGGATACAAAGAGATTTTCTCAAGTTAAATTGTCTATAATTACAAAAAAATAACTTTCTTTTTGGAACAATTGAGACATGAGCAATAGACTCACCATACCCAGAAACCTGACATGCGCAATCTCAGATTGCATTACTTGCAGGCCTTGAAATCTTACATAACTAGATAACCATGGGCGTACTCTTAAAAGCAGAAGAATCACTTACCAGAGTTAAAATAGTGAAACTGGCACCTAATAGAGCAACTTTACGACAAAAAAAATTATCAAAAGAAACTGCAGCAACAAAACAGTACTAAGAGAACTCCTAGTCCAAGTATGAATCACTTGTACGCTTGAGTTCTGTGGATCTAATCTAGCAGGCATCCAACCACTTAGTTATCATTATACAGTGACGATGACTGAGTAAAATTCCAAACATTGATTTTCCACTTCCAGTTTCCAGGCTAACATAAGCTGTTGGAAAGCAAAACAAGAGCATTCTACTAATGTTAACAAATAGCTTGTTCCTTTAGTTCTGTAGTTAACAAATACCAACAAGGGACTAAATCAAAGAATAGAAGCCAAAGCAATAAGCAGTTGACGAAATTTTTTGCAGATAACAGCCGGGCACAAGGTTTAATTTCA